TGTCCACAGAATCAGGCGTCATGGGCTGAAAGGAGTTGAAAGTCACCGGGCAAGACGGAGTGCTGGACATCTCAGCTCGACTCACTGTATTTTAAAAAGGAGAGAGCTCCCGGCGGATGGCCTCCACTTTAGATTTAAAGAAAGCTGCAAACTGGTCAAGTGAAAAACTAGGGGGAGACCTATCACCCAAACCAGTTCCAGATAGGTCGTGCACTATATGGAATAACTCCGTCTGCTGATTTGACGCTTCATTTATCCGGTTAGCGAAGAACGATCGACATGCAGCCTTTACTTTATTCAGGTAAAGGTTAGATGCGACCTTAACAGCTATCCTGTTATAATCCGTCGGGTTCTTCCTCCATCTACGTTCTAGCCTTCTCATTAGTTTCATTGCTTGAAGGTCCTAGGTAAACGAGGGCGCTGGCGGAGCTCTACGATGGAGAGGGCATTTAGGCGTGATCATGTCTATAGCCCTGGTGGCAGCAATGGACCAGCTGTCCACCAGAGCGTCGACGGGAGCGCTAGCCAGGTCAGCCGTAACACCTCTCATGGCATCCTGGAATCCAACTGGATCCAGTAGTCTTCGAGGGCGGACCATGGCAATTGGTCCTTGCTCCCTGCGAGGGGGGAGAGCCACGGTGAGGTTACATTTTATTAGGTGGTGATCTGACCATGAAAAGGGGACTGACATGAGGTCTGTCACCATCAGATCACACTCGCTCCAACTGGAGGAAAAAACCAGGTCCAACATGTGGCCACCCACGTGGGTGGGGCCGTTGACATGTTGGGACATGTTCAAGGAAGCCATGGTTTCCAAGAACTCAAGAGCTGGCCCAGAAGCCTTTGCCCCAGCATGCACGTTGAAATCACCCAAGACCAAAAGTCTCGGGGATCCTAACAGTGCTGCGGAAACAAAGTCGGCCAGCTCCGGAAGGGAAGTGGCTGGATCGCGGGGAGTGCGGTAACCCAGCAAAATCCCAATACCATCCCTGGCCCCTATCAACACGTGGAGTGCCTCTAGACCCGGCTTTACCACTGAGGAGTGCCTAGTAACCTCCAAGCTGGATTTATAAACAATGGCTATAACCCCTCCCCGCCCCTCCCGTCTACCCTGGTGCTGGACGGCATAACCGGGCAGACAGACAAGAGCCAGAGGAGGACCCCCTTCTCTGCCTATCCACGTCTCGGTTATGCATGCCAGGTCTGCATCCTCCTCCAGGATAAGGTTGTGAATCACCTGGGTTTTATTGGATACAGACCTGGCATTCAACAGTACCAGAGTTAGAGTGGAGGCCTGACTGGGCTGGCTACCTCGATACTGAGGGTTGGTCACAGTCTCAGAACAATGAACAGCCATCAAACATCTGTTCATTGTTCTTCTGACACGAGTAGGGACTGCCAACGCCATATCTCCCTCTACCCGTGATCACCGGGATGTTAAATGGCCCTTGCTAAATATATATTTATATAAGTCACAATGTGTAGATTGGAATTTTTTCACTGCTTGTTTTTCCAAAATTTTGTTCATTTCAAGTAGACATCCCTATGTCTGTTGGAATAATTGATATAAAAACAAATCCGAGCCAGCTAAATGCAGTTGAATTTCTGTGGGATCCTGGGAAGCGGACATCTGCCTTTATTCAGGTTTGAAAATTTTATTTTCTTATCAAATTATGATTTTATATAGTTTTGGAAAGAGTTGAAATTCTACCTAATGTTCTTCACAGTTGTAAATATTCACAGTTGTAATATTTCTAACCAATTAAGTGTTAGTGTCTAAGTATTAGTTATTCTCATAATTGCCAGCATCTTTAAAAGATAATTCTGTAACAAATTAATGTAAGTGAATGCAAGTTCATTGTCATAAGTGAATGTAAGAGCCCTGGTAAACCAGAGAAGGGTTCAAAAGAGGGCATGAAGGGAGTGTTCTCTTTCCCCTTCAACTGCTTTGCTTTTGCTTAATCATTGGTATGTAAATGTTTATATGTCTGAGTTTAGAAGTTCCATTTGTTTAATGTTGTATTGCTACACTTAAACTGCATCAACGACCCTTACGTTAAGACACTGACTTGCTATATTTTGTGATAGGAAACTATATGTTAAATACTGTTTTATATGTTAGTAACAACAATTTCAGCTTTAATTCAGAGGTTGGCTCTGAAATCGGACACTCTGATAGAAGTGTATGTAGGGATGTATCTCTGCTTAGTTGCACCCCAGATGTTCTGTAGTAGAGTCCATTTCTCCCTGCATCTGTATTGCACTAGACTGAGGGATGCTAATGTAGCTCACAACTGGTTTACTTCTTTTCCAAGAGAAGCATATAAATAAAAACACATTGTAATTTGGTTTGATACTTTTCAGGTACATTGCATCAGCACAGAATTTACGCCCCGTAAACATGGAGGTGAAAAAGGAGTTCCTTTTAGAATTCAGGTTGACACTTTTAAACAAGCAGAAAATGGAGAATACACTGATCATCTGCATTCAGCCAGCTGTCAGATCAAAGTTTTTAAGGTAAGAGATGCAAATAAAGATTAGGAGTCGTGGCAGAAGTTTATTAAAAAGAAGCTTGCAGTATTGTGTTTGCTTTTAAAGGATTTTTAAACAGAGTTTCTCTATATAATTTTATTTTTAGCCAAAAGGGGCAGATAGAAAACAGAAAACAGATAGAGAAAAGATGGAGAAACGAACTGCCCATGAAAAAGAAAAGTATCAGCCTTCGTATGACACTACAGTTCTTACAGAGGTAATAATATTATATGGAATTGTCTCCATTTGCAGACAAAAATGGTTTAAAGTACACATGGCATACTTTAATATAAGTTATCAGATAGGCTCAAAAGATGAGAATAAGCTAATTTATCTGAAAAGTAAGCTTTTTATTTGATGTAGTTCACAAAAACCAACATTTTTTTTAGAATGATACAGAAATAGATAATATATTTGAACATTTAGAATTGCTCCAGGAAATCAAATGTACATGTCTTTAAACCCTTCAGTGTCAAGCAAGTTGTTTTAAAACTAGTTTTTTTGTTGTTGTTGTCCAGTTTGGGCCCGCAGCTGTATTTTAGAGATTGTTGAATTTATGGGCAGAGCCTCACTGGCCTTTTGCATTTCTTTTTCTTTAAACACCAGTGAGTTTTCTATAGCTTCCTAAAGATTGCAAAAGTTTTTTAAAGACTTAAAAAATTTTCCTCACTGTATAGTGAAAAGAAATTGATCCACATCTTTGGTGTTTGTCCAGATGAGGCTTGAGCCTATAATTGAAGATGCAGTTGAACATGAGCAGAAAAAGTCCAGCAAGCGGACTTTGCCAGCAGACTACGGTGATTCTCTGGCAAAGCGAGGCAGTGTAAGGGACTTCTGCTTACTTTTCATTGTGCAAGTTATCTTGTGCAGTGTTAGATATAGGACCAATTTCTATAAACAAAAATCCAAACACAAAGATTTTGACGGCCTTGGCTTAATTTAATTCACTTTTGCTAGCCACAAATTACTTCATGCTTGTATTGTAGTGAGAAATGTTTCCTAAATCTAACACATAAGTAACATGTTAGCAGACTTGTGACTCCTGTTAAAATTAATAGCTTCAATTTGCACACGAAATGGCTGTATTGAATAGCTGTGTTCTTGAAAGCTGTTTTCTCATATGTAATTAATGGAATGAGAATTAGCAATATCATTGCACTGAGATGTATTTTCCTTTCTTTCCACTTGCATGTTACACAAACAGCAGTTTTTCTGGCCCTATATTTTCTCAGACCTTTTGCCGTATTGATACTTACCTGTATGGATTACTGTCATTCTAGTATTTCCGGTATTCTTCAAGAAATTCCAAGTTCAAATACTACTAATTTGAACTTTGTTTATGCATTTGCTTAGGATGCAGATACATATATAATCCAGCTGTTAAAATGTAAAATGATAGTTCATCAATGTTATATATGTCTTCATTACTCCCTGAATAATTTTTGTACACAAATAAAATAAGGTGGCTGATGCTGTAGTGCTATTACAAATTGGCAGTCCCTTCTTAGGCTGTGTTGCATTGAAAAGGAAACTTGTTTCAAAATCTACCCTGTTTAAAAAATTGTTACACTTTTATCATTCTTTTTCCTGAAAGGAGGTTCAAACAGCTTTCTGCCTTTTCGTTATATTTTCCACAAATAATCCTTTGATGTAGATGGTACTGAGAAGTAGTGAGCGCTCTAGGATCACCTAATGGAGATTTCAACTTGAGCTCTTTGGACATAGTGTAACAGTTCCTTAGGTGGTTGTCTGTCATATGTGGGGTTGGCATTTGAGTCCTTCATCTTGGCAAATTGTGGTAGAATTGGTCATGGCCATACATCTTAACCAGAATTCTTAGTTTTTATTTGCTCTGCACAAAGCAGCAGGATTCTGTCCCCATCCTGACAGTTGTTTCAGCTTTAGAAAGAACTCACACAGCAGCTTCTGTTTGTTTCCCTGCTCTTTCCCTGTTGCACTTCAGGAGCATGGTTGATGCCGGCTCAAGTGCTGTACTTCTTTGGCAGGGATTTTTCAGGGATTTAATTAGACTGAAGAAGTAGCAAGCACATCCACATTCTGACCTTTATTGACCTGACCGTAGCCTTTTCAGTATGTGCCAACATTCAAGTTCTGGCGTATAACATTTCTCATGTTTCTGGCAAGGTCATAGCAATTGCTGAAGGAGCCACTGAGTAACTTTTAAGACAGTAAAATCAGAGGACAAAAGGAATGGTAGTCCTCTTTCTTATTGCTCAGATTAACAATATTTCATGTCCTAACACACTGTGTTTAGTCATACAGCTGGTCAGCATTTCATAATTTAGATACTTTTTTCTCATGTATTCACAGGATAAGAACTTTTGTTGCCAAAGTTGTTTGTCAGGAAATAAGAGTTTAGAATTGATGTCAGAGGGAAAGCCCTTTGAGACCTCCAGAGGCAAAAAGGAAAGGGAAAAGGGTGGGAAATTCGAATTTCCAGCCCTTTCCCCCTGCCTTTTTGCCTTTTTCTTGCCTCGGAACACATTGATTGGTTTTCAATGCATTCCTATGGGAAATGGTGCTTCAGCTTAAGAACATTTCGACTTAAGAACGCAGTGCCAATATGGATTAAGTTCTTAAGTCGAGGTACCACTGTAATTTCCTCAAACCTAACACACATTTTAGGCTAATATGAGCAGCTCAAGTGTAGAAGTTTATATTATTTAACATGATGTTTGGCTTTGCTCCCCTTTTTCCTAAAAAGGTGTCTGTATTTTTCCAGGTACATTTGAAACAGCATTGCTTGAACTGATCTTATTTGCCTAGGATGCTAATTTAAGATAGTTAATGAAGTGTGTATAAGATATGTATCAGCAACTTTAAAGTTTTCTGAAAAGTTACAGTCAGAAGAACATATGTGACATAAAAATCATTTACTCCCAATACAGCACAACCTTGAATAACTTCTTAGCTTTCCTACATTTTTATTTACTTATTTAGACAAGGCAGATTCTAAACTCTTATTTCTTGACAAACAACTTTGGCAGCAAAAGTTCTTATCCTGTGAATACTCAAAGGGCTTCCTCCAATGTCGGGGGAAAGCCCTTGAAGCCCTCCAAAGTCACCGATCGCCACCACGGGGACCCCCAGGGAGGTCTCCCAGGGCTTGCCCGCCACCATGGGAGATCTCCCTGGGGATCCCCACAGCCGCGATCAGCACCTACAGTGGTACCTCGACTTACAAACTTAATCCTTTTTGGAACCACGTTTGTACATCAAAAAGTTCGTAAGTCGAAGTACTATTTTCCGTTGAAATGCATGGGAACGGAATTAATCCTTTTTTCCTTTGGAGGTCTCAAACGGCTTCCTCTGATGTCGGGGGGGGAAGCCCTTTGAGACCTCTGAAGGCGCCGATTGCTCCGTTTGCAAAAAAATGGCATTGACCTGCAAACAGAGCCTCGACCTCGTTTGTAGGTAGAGGCTCTGTTCCCAAGTCGATGCCAATTTTTGTGAACAGAGCCATTCATAAGTCGAAATGTTCGTAGATAGGGACGTTCGTAAGTCGAGGTCCCACTGTAAGTGGATTGTTTTTCTTAGAATTAGAGCTAAACCTTAATTTCTATATCAGGAATTGCAAAAGAGCTGCATGCTTCTGACACCCTGTTTACCTACTGTCAATACAGTGCTTGTGCCATCTCTCATTCTCTCCCAGAGAGTAGGAAGAGACTTGCAGGGGTTGATGTTTATGCAATGCATAGTTGAAAAATGAAGTACAGTGGTGCCTCACACAACGATGTTAATTGGTTCCAAAAAAATCAACGTTGTGTGAAACATCGTTCTGTGAAACACCATTTCCCATAGGAATGAATTGAAAACCGGTTAATCCGTTCCAATTGGAACAGATTGCCGTCTTTAAGTGAAAAAACCCATAGGAAACATCGTTGAGTGAAACAATGTTTCCTCCATTGGAATGTATTGAAGCTGACTCAATACATTTCAATGGCTTTGCGAAGTCCTTTTTCGCTCCTGTAAAAGTGTCTTACAATGTTTGGAACAGGTTTTAAATGCTTGCAATCATTAGCCCACCTCCTGAACCCTATGCAAACTTAATTTGGTGTTGTTCTGAGTCGTCCTTAATTTTTGGTGATTTTTTGTTTTCCCTATTTAAATGCATTGAACTGTCCATTCAATTGATTTAAATGGGGAAAATAAAAAAATCACGAAAAATATGAAGACTCAGAACAAAACCAAATTAAGTTTGCACATGTTTCACAAGGTGCACTATGGAATCCAAGCATTTAAAACAGGTTTCAAACATTTTAAGACACTTTTAAATGAGCAAAAAGGGACATCGTTAAGTGAAATTCCCCCATAGAGAACATCGTTAAACGATGGGGGAAATTCCTCAAAAAAACCCATCGCTGTGTGAATTCATCGTTGTATGAAGCAATCGTTGTGCGAGGCATCACTGTAGTTCAACAACATTTGAAAAATGAAGTAAATAATCAGATAATGCCTGTCCCTTATCAAAGCCCTCTTCTTCCAGAATTGTTCTGGTCTGCATTTTTGGAACAGGGATTGGGCAGTTTGCTCTCTCAAATGTTGTTGAACTATGATTCTTTACCATTGGCTTCATGGGTAGGGCTTGATCTGAGCTGCAATCCAAATACATCTGTGCAGTCCTGTATACATACTGTGTTCCCCTTAGCTCAGAAAATGTGGTATATTGCTGTGATTATTGACCATTCTTCTGAATATTGGATATTGAGAGAAAACCATGCTGTCATGTTCATGTCTTGGTGAACTTCCAAAAGATACCTGGCATACTGCATTTGGAAGAGGATGCCCTCTCTCCCTCCCAACCTCTCCCAAAACCAGACTGGGATCCACCAATGGATTTCTTAAATGGTTCCCAGTTTCTCTTTTCTTCTGCCACCCAAAAGCTGCTTGCCATGAAATAATATTTTAAACTTCATAGTGTAAGATAACATAAAGATAGAATTTTATGAAATGTTTATCAGAGAATTAATTTATTGAGGGCTACAAAAATGGACTGTGATCAGCAAGTAATCTTTGCATTTTCAGAGTCAAGCGTAATCCACCTGGACACCAAGAACCCAAAGTCAACCTACAGCAGAGCATAAGAAAAAGCAAAATACGGGGTATTTTCTGATTCCAGTGAATTCAGATGTTCCCCACTATAAGAAATATAATCATTTCTATTAATCTCATTTAAGATAGTTAATGAATTTAATATCAGTATATTAAATCAATAATTTCTATTTCACTGCATCATGGATTGCCCCCAAAATGAGATGGATTGCAAAATTTATTTTATTTTTTGTCCCCAAACAATATATTGACCAGGATGAAAGAAAGTTAGCAGGGAAAAAATTAGTACAGTGGTGCCTTGCACAACAGGCGCTCTGTTTAAGGACGAATCCGCATTACGACAATGTTTTTGTGATCGCAACGACGTGCTGTGTTTAGGAGCCATTTTTCGCTGCACAGGCACCCGAAAATGGCCGCCCCTGTGGAGGATTTTCGCTGGACTGTGAGTTCTTAGCCGATTGGAACGCATTAACCAGGTTTTAATGGGTTTCAATGGCTTTTTTATTTTCGCTTTATGACATTTTCGTTCTACAGTGATTTCGCTGGAACAAATTAACGTCATAATGCGAGGCACCATTGTAGATGAATAGGAACATTTTTGTCCTACCTTTTGTTTGTTTGATTTTTATAGGGGAAAAGCTATGTATAACAAGTGGTTGAAAATTGGGGTACATTGTTTGCAACTGTGCAGATAGCAGGGTTTTTTTGGAATGCCAACGTATTGTTGATACCTCTGTAGATTCTGCAGTAAAATGTGACTCTTGTGCACTGAAATGTCCTGTTCTTATACATGAGGGTGAAGAAGCATTGCCCATTTGTAGGATTTTATAATCATGCTAATCATACCTAGGACATTTTAAAAATAAAAATACTACCTTGTACCATGAAATAATCTGGCCAAGAGCAGATGATTAATAATTGAAAACATTATAGCTATCTACCAGTGCTTATGCTGGTAGGTTGGAAGGCATTCTCGAGACCAGGAAATACCTTCATTGTTATAATCTTCCACTGTCTGCTTCTTATCAGCTTCTTTTGTCCATATTGTATAACAGAGTCTCAAGAACCCAAACATTGATATACACTATGCATTATTTTTGTGGTAGCAGTGCCTAATAGAGCTTGGTAGAAACATTATTGCCCTTCTTTTTTCTGCAATTGTAAACAGTAGCTTTATTCTGATGTTCTGGAATCAGCGCAGTTGCAGGGAGGGGAAGGGAGGCTGTAGAAGAGGGGATCATGCTTGTGTACATGCTCTACACATGAGCAAGAATCCTGGAAAATCTATGTTCTTGCTCTTATGCGGAGTCTACCTGTAAGCAGGACTCTTTTCTTTAGACATGGCACTTCCTGTGTGAGCAAAATAATGAAGGAGGTAGCAAGTCTAACCTTTCTCTCGTTGTTGATTGTATAGTTCAGTAGGGCTAGTGAATGGAAGAGTGAAACTCTGCTTTGGGAATTAAAAATAGTTGACACAAGTCAGACTTATTTTTAAAAAAACTTCTAATGAACTGATCCAGTGATATGTTTCTAATGCAGAAATTTAACAAGCTGTGCCTGTTGCCTTAAGAGCTCTGCAGCAGCAGAATATATGGAAGTGGTTTCTCCCAATGTGGTTCTACTTGTTTCCCCTTCTGTCTTCCACCGGCTGTGAAGCAGAATTGGAATCCAACTTACTGCACCCGGTTGTGGAATTAGGATCATATGCTCAGATCTCATATTCTTGGTCAAAGGTTTCTCAGTATAGTTTTTTATACATGCTCTCTGGAATTCATGGAGTTGAATTGAGATTTAGTTACATTAAGAGAGCAAGCGTATTGAAATAAACAATACAAGTTACTCATGATTAATATAATCTCATTGATTTTGCAAGGTCTGGACTAAGTGTGACTACATCTGAATCAGAGCTGTAGTTTCTAAGAAGAGTGGTGGGGGTGGGGGTTTGCTTCCTTACACTCTCTAGTTTCTAAGATAACCTTGAAAGGAATCCATGTCAGTAAAGCCAATTTTTGTGTGCAGTTTATATATGTATAAACCGAATTTCTGGGTGCTTTCCTGTATACTTTTAAAATTATCAGTAATTTTAGTTACCTGTAAATAGTATTGTCTTTAAAGATAAAAACTTATATGAAACGTTTTGAGTTCAAATAGTGAATTAGAAATACAGGTCCTTTAAATTAGAATGGAAGGAATCTCAGTTAATTAAACTTTCGAACTGTACTTGTTCTTCCTTAACCTGTACTCACTCACTGAGTCAGTAAGAACTAAGTCAGTATCTTAGAAATATGGTGGACAAATAATAGCTGTTCAGTCATTACTAAGTTCAGTGCTATTGTGAAGCAAAATCACTGCCTTCCTATGACACTGACAAAAAAAACCCCCTTGTGATATAGTGACTATATTCAGTTGTGTGCATGCATAGTAAATATTGAATGATACTATTGAAATAAATGAGGACTTAAACTTGTAGGGTTATACTCCTGCTGTAAGGTGCTAGTTTTAATGGTAAAGCTGCTGTTTGATGTTTATCCTTACTCTAGTGTTCACCATGGCCGGATACACCTACTGCATTTGTAAACAGTAGTCCTACCCCAACTCCAGTCTTTTCTTCTACTCCGCATACTACTTGCGGTGTCCCAGATAGGTATGTATTTTTTAACATGTTATCTTATATCAAGGATGAAGTTGTTAAAAAAATACATCTCTCTGTCTCTCTCTCTCTCTCTCTCTGCAAATGGCAGTTTTTCAGTATGGGAAAATTACATGTGCTGTAGAATTTTTATGTGATAGTGTCAAGATTCCCCCCCCAACCCTCGGTCCACAGCCTGGTACCAGGCCGTGGCCTAGGCAGGACCGGGCCATGGAGGCAGATCTCCCACCCCCCACAAGCACGCATGCCCCCCACATGCATGACTGCCTCAACCACCCCTGTGCGTGTGTACAGGTGCCCCGCCCACCCACACATATGGATGCTGCCACCACCCTGGTCCATGGTTTGGAAAAGGTTGGGAACCACTGCTCTAGTGTTTAATTGCCTCTGTTGACTTTAGATCAGGGATCAGAAATGTCTCATGATTGAGGAGCTGTATGGAGCTCATGACTGGAGCTTCAGTGCCACAGTAGGATCTTGATTTTGCTGCCACAGTTGTTGAACTTCAGCAGCAAATATACTGCCTCTCTGATGTGGTAGAGCGGATGGGAAGGGCAAATGTCAATCACTGTGAGAGTAAGAATTCCACAGTTGACCTGCTTTATCTCTCTCAGGGGCTTGGTGCAGGATATGCTTACAGGGAAGGAAATGGTAAAATAGCTCTTATACAGTGGACGTGGCTTCTATATGGCAGTTTTACTGCCAAATTCCAACATTGTTTTCATAACTTCAAAAAGTCCAAGGAGCATGTTGGGGCTTAGTAAGAGAAAACTGTTAATAGAAAGTAGTAGAGATCTGTTCCCTTGGGTCATACCCTTTATTTAAAAAAAAATGGAAGCAAAATCATTTTGTGATATTCCTTTTCCTCATCCTTTCCTGTCTAGTAATTCATCATCTCCAAATCACCAAGGAGATGGAGTTCCTCAAGTATCTGGAGAGGTAAGTGACAATGTATGAGGCAGCCAAGAAACTCATTTAATATCTTGGAAAGCCATAAGTTGTACATTGTCTTATATAATACAAGATCTAGAGGCAAACACTGATCTTTTTCTCCAACCTAGCAACTTCATCCGTCAGCCACAATCCAAGAAGCCCAGCAGTGGTTACTTAAACATAGGTTTTCCAGTTATACAAGGCTGTTTTCCAATTTCTCAGGTACGCAAGATAATATTTTAGAAGTTTTCTTTTGTAATTTCAAAGTAAATTTCCTTGTATTCATTTCTTATGAGAAGTCATGGATGCTTGATTTGCACTTCAAATATGCTTGACATATAAAGATCTAAGTTTTGATATTTAAAGATCTAGAAGATCTAACAATCTAATATAGTGGTGCCTCGCTTAACGAGCGCCTCGCTGAGCGATGAAATCACTTAACGAGGGGCTCTGGGCCATCGCTGGAGCATTCGCTCAGCGATGGCCCCTATGGCGTTTTTTCGCTTTGCGATATTCGCTAAGCGATTCGCTTAGCGAATCTCGCATAACGAAGCGGGGGAGAACAGCTGATCAGCGGTTCCAAAATGGCCGCCGGAAGGTCCACGCCACATTTTCGTGCCCTGCCCTCGCTTACCAAGGGCGCGAAAATGGCGGCGCTATGGAGGAACATCGCTTAATGGTGAGTTTTAAAGCCATAGGAACGCATTGAACAAAGTTCAATGCGTTTCTATGGCTTTTTAAATTCCGTTTAGCAATGTTTCGCTATAGCGAAGGTTAATCCGGATTAACCTCGCTATGCGAAGCACCACTGTATTTTTATCTGAAAGTTTATCTAATTTCTTTCCATTCTTGCAAATTCTTTCCAATATCTGTTTTTCACTGACAATCCCCCCCGGACATAGTTTAAGACTCACTCTCTGCTACATTAGGCCAAAGTCTGTCTAGTTGAATGTCCTGATTCTATCATTGGCCTGCCAGATGTTCCTCAGTAGCTTGGAAACAAGATATGAACATCCTTTAGTTCTGTTACACCTTTTAAAGGCATCTGTACTGTTTGAAATACTTCTTTCTGGGCTTGTTTATATTTCCAGTATACATTGGAAAATATGGGAATATGCAATGACATAGTTCAGAATGACTTACAATCATGTGACAGCATAAATTGCTGTTACTGTTCTCACAGCTGCCCAGGTAATGGGTAGTGGCACATACTCTGTGAAAGAAGCTTTGAAGAGCTGCCCTTGTTTTCCCTCCTTCCTGCTTTCTTCTCCACCTCTCTGGATTCTTACACCCACCTCTGTAGATAGAGTGGAAAGCAGGAAAAAGGGGAAAAAACGTGGACAGAGGTGTTCATATGTGTGGAATAGATTTCAGTACAGTGGTGCCTCACACAACGATGTTAATTGGTTCCAAAAAAATCAACGTTGTGTGAAACATCGTTCTGTGAAACACCATTCAATGTTTGGAAGCTGTTTTAAATGATTGCAATGGTTAGTCCACCTCCTGAAACCTATGCAAACTGATTTTGGTGTTGTTCTGATACTTCGTTAATTTATGATTTTTTGAATTTTCCATTGGAAACCATTAGACAGACCATCCAATGGTTTCCAATGGAGAAAATTCAAAAAATCATCATAAATTAACGAAGTGTCAGAACAACACCAAAATCAGTTTGCATAGGTTTCAGGAGGTGGACTAACCATTGCAATCATTTAAAACAGCGTCCAAACATTGTAAGACACTTTTACAGGAGCGAAAAGGGAGATCGTTGTGTGAAAATCCCCCATAGGAAACATCGCTGTGTGAGGCAGCAAATTTAACAGAAAAAGGCATCGTTGTGTGAATTCATCGTTGTGTGAGGCACTCGTTGTGCGAGGCACCACTGTATATTGATTCCACATCCCCATTTAAATAAACAGACCTCTTGCAGAAGAGCAAAAAAACAAACAAACAAAACCATGCTGCTGCTGAAAATAACATGATCTCCTTTCAAATTAATCTGTACTTGCAAATTCCTTGTAATCACCCAATTGAAATTGACCTAAAACATGCTGAACATGATTTATTGGGGGGCAGTTTAAGCAGTGATATCAGGCTCTCTGTCTTGAATCTATTGCTAGTCTTGTTTCATTTTGTGACCTAATATTGTAAGAAAAGAATAAAATGTATCTCTCCACAGTGAATAGTTGTATAAACTTTTGATGTTCCCGTCCAACCCTTGCTCATTTGGATTGCTCCTGTGTGCTTTTTTTCTATGCATTTTTTAAAATGGAATAACCAGCCACCTAGAGCGGACGAGTCACCCAGATAAGCGGGATATAAATCAAACAAATAAACAGATACACTGTAATGCATTTGCTTTATAGTTGGCTCCAAAACATTACAGTTCTGGAAGTCATAAACAATCACTTTCTTCATCATTATAATGCAGGATTTTCCTCTGCTTGCCACTATAAATTCTTTTTCTTGAGATAGTGAACATCCTAAGGTCCCAGTTTTGTTGTGATATGGGAGATTTGTTTTCTCCCACAGGATAAATCATTTAAGGTTTTGGATAAACTTGGTTATTTCATTCTTCAGCCAATTTGGAAATACTGTTTTGAAATAATCTTGAGGTTTTGCCCTGCTGAATAACTGTGTGTTTTTAGCAGATTGTTGCTTACATCTGATACCATACCTTATAAATGAATAACACTAACAATCCTAAAACAGCACAATCAGCTTAGTTATAACATTTAAATTTAAATTCTGTTTCATTAAATTACCTTTCATTTTCTAAATTATCTGTCAGTTCTTGTGTATATTCTTTCTTATGTTGTTGAACAAGTTGTGAACTTTTGTCTGGATATTCCTCTGAGCCTAAAATAATGTTTAGAAGTAGGTCTTCTATCCCCCTTCATCAACTCTTAGCATGTAGTTGCACCTGGATTAGAGCATACGTGAGAAACTGTGTATGCGTTGACAACACCCAGCACTCTTCAAATGTTGTGGGTTGTAGCCTCCTTTTTTACTTTGCCTCCTTAGCTTTTATTACATTGTACAGTGGACCCTTGACTTACAGACGGCTTGACTTACAGACTTTTTGAGTTACAGACTTCTCTGGCCGCAAAATTTAGGTTTGACTTGCAGACTGAGATTTGACTTACAGACCAGAAAAAAACCAAAATGGAACAAAAACGGCCTGTTACGGGATTAATCGGTTTTCAATGCACTGTAGGTTAATGTAGACTTGACTTACAGCCTTTTTGACTTGAGAACCGCCTTCCAATACGGATTAAGTTCTCAAGTCAAGACCCCACTGTACTGGTATAATTAGAACCCTACAGCACAGTTCTCTTGAATTCTGGAGAGAGCAGAGAGGACAAGGCAATTTCAGTGCATGCTCTAGTCTAGAGCAGTGGTTCTTAACCTTTTTTACTCGGATGCTTTTGAACTGCAACTCCCAGAAACCCCAGTCAGGATAGCTGGTGGTGAAGGCTTCTGGGAGTTGCAGTCCAAAACTCCTGAGTAACCCAAGGTTAAGAACCAGTGGTCTAGAGAGCACATCTGTTGTCCCAAAGCTCAAAATACACAGCAGCCAATTATAAGCTGAGAAGGTAATTGTGGCACAAATGGAGAATTTCAAAGTAGAGAAGCTGGAGAAGAAATGACAGTGGCCAGAAGAAAAGCAAATTCATAGTCCTTCCTTTCAAGTTTTAAAATGAATTCTTGAAATTCATTTTCTTGGGGAGTTTTTGAGGCAAAAATAATATTGTGGTTACTGTCTGTGGAGGCTTTCTATAAAGAAGCCTTAATATTTGTTGGCACAGTACTATAACTAAAAGTGCTTTAAGTGTGTTATACCCCTTATTTTAGTGTAGGAGAATCCTAGGTAATTGACTATATGAAGATATTATGATTCTGTATCCAGCAGAACTTGTCCAAACAGAAGTAGATACTTGTGTATGCATCACATTTCAGCTAACTGTTTTGGAAGTATCCATTGGAATGCATTGGAGAAAACGGTGGCATTACCTAGTCTCATGATGGGAAGAAAGCAAGGAAGGAACTTAAATGCCCAGTAGTTCATGCAGTAATTTATTTTGCCTTCATTTTATTGACGTGTTTGTAAATCATCTTGTAAGCAAGCATGTTATTATTGTCTGATAGAATACAGTTTGATCATGCATCACAGATAATGAAAACAGCAGAATAGTTTAAGGGTCTAGCAGAAGAAACTTATTTGTTCTTAAAATTATATAAAGCCAGACAGGTTAGTGAGAGTAACTTGTGCAGAAACATTGCCAGAATTGTGACATATCTCTGTATGGCAGCATTGCTTTTCAAGTGGCGGACTTCACGCACCAATCTAGATGCTGTCCTGTGTATTTTCTAGGTGCTGATTTATTGACGCTGACAAGAGAAGATCTGGTACAAATCTGTGGGCCAGCTGATGGAATTCGGCTGTATAATGCACTTAAATCAAGGTAAATAATATCCTTGTGTCATCTTGTTTTTCTGTCGGTTCTGTCAGAAGTCTGTCTGCAGACAGGGGGATTTGGGAGGTGTTTAGATTTTTCAAATGGCTTATGCCTGTGTGAGCTCATACAGGAGTTGGAAGTACTGTGCTCAAAAGAAGAATGTTTTGTTGTACACCTTCAGGGCAGGCCACAGATATGATGCAGGCACTGATGAGCTCAAAGGTAGACTGTAAGACTGGTAGCAATGCAGTTGGGCAGTTCTGATTTCTTGAAGACGGATGGGTTTGTTGCCAAGAGACAAATCTTCTCATTTAGGTGAGCTATAACCAACCTAAAGTTCTTGAGGTCATGGCTACTAAATATTAACAATTGCAGATTTCTAACTGTGAATTAAGCTTGCATAATGATGTTAACTTACTGTTACCTCTGCTACTCCAATAGTTATATTACAGAATTGCACCACACGCCAGTGTCTTAATTACTTCAATTTAAATTTGAAGATTAATTCACCAACTTTGAACAATCTCAGTGGTTCTGAGATTAGTTATTAGACCAAACAATCTTTGCTAGTTTGCATCAAATTTTAAGTAGTTTGTAAAGAAGTAAAGAGTACTGTAGTGTTAAAGTAACAAATGGATATACATCAGTGATACTCAGTGCAGGAAGATTTATTTTTGTCTTTACATTCCAGGTCTATTAGGCCACGTCTAACAATCTATGTATGCCAAGAGCAATCAAGAAGTGTACAGTTTGAAAGGCAGCAAGACTCAGGCAGTGGAGAGAACAGAAATGGTGCAATATTTGGTATGTGTGTTATCAGTTAGCTTATTTTGGTATCAAGTCTTCTACTGCTACCCACTGAAGATTTCAGTTTATTCTTCACTTACTGCCATACAGTAGAGGATTGCAGATTTTTCATATTTACAGATCAGTGATTTATTGTTGATTTATGCCAGCATAAATATAAGTCCATTAATCATGGCAGTGAATTGTCACTAATTAACAAGTTACCACATGGTAGTTCTAGTCACATGCTAGTTGCACAGCTTGACACATGACTTGACTAGGGATACAAATAGTAATTTGTTGATCTGCAACAATTCGCTGCTGTGATTAACACTTAGACTTCCACCAACGTAAATCTACAATAAGATGCTGGTAATATAGTTTGAATGTCACTGCTAGTGTGAATAATGTTGGAACAGCACAAAAACTATGTATTTCAGGACTACTTATCCTAATACATGGAAAACATTGGAGTGCATTAACTACATGAACAGCTATGAGCTAAATGATAAATAAGTTGGTAGGGCACTCAGCACTGACATGCTAAGACCAAAATGGTACTAAAATTGTGTCTTTTATCAAGGAAACAAGTTAGTGGCATCTGAAAAACTAAAAGCTTTACCATGGTGTGTTAGTCTTTAAGGGGTCAGGTGTCTTGGTTGGTTTTCTGCTAAGACAGACTTAACACAGTTAGCCCCGCTTGAGTACAGCTTTCCATCTGGTCCCACGAACAACCTTTTAAAGGAAGGCTTGAAAAGTACTGCCATGAACAGGCAACTCATGGACTGACATGACTGGATTAAGCTGAATAGAAGGGTGGGATTCCAGAGGAATTCTTATACACTGTCTTTATTAATGAACTAGGTAAAGGACAGTGGACTCATCAGATTTACTGCTAACAAAACTTGGAGAAAATATAAAACAATCTTGAGGAACAGAAAATCTGCACTAGTGAAAACAAAATGAAACTGAAAAAGATGAATGTAAAGTGCTGCATGTTGGACGGTTTGAAAGCACAAGCTTACAGTACCAGACAGCCTCAGAAATAATGGCAAATGGAAGTTTGAATATAAATATACAGTGCAGTGCTGTGACAAACACCTTGCCATTGTGGAGTGCACTAAAACGTGTGGTATCCATATGTTGGCCAGTATCTGTGCTGTAAGTACTTGTAAGAGTCTATTCCAAGTGGTGATTGAGGCCACCTGCGGACCACAGTTTGAAAGGACCTTTGGCACAATGGAAACAGTGCACAGGTAGAGTAAAAACGGGGCTGTTAATTGCCACAGTGCTGCTACACATCAACAGCAGTGGTAAAGGTGTGTGGCGCAAAGATAGAACATACAAGAATATGAAGTGCAGACTAGATTATGACCAACCTAAAAAGAACTAAACAGATACATCTGCAGATGCATTGACTAGATATAAGTATCCTCAGCAAGTAGGCAGCTCCTCACAGCAGATTTCCCAGTTGTGCTGTGGTTTGAAACACACAAGCAGTAGTATGAGATTTAGTTTTTTTGACTTCTCTAAATGGTAATTAAAATGTGATTTGATTTTGCTTGTCTCTCAAACCTTCTCACATCTTTACCATCCTTTTCAGACGTGTTTCTTGCATGTGCACATACAGTATGTGCTGAGTGTATGTGCAAGATATAAGGCTGTGCAGATTCAGAATGTGGTACTGCTACTTTCTAAAGTGTCTGACATTGAGAAGAATGTCAAGTACTCATGCCAGTTCTCTTTTAGTGCACATCATGGCATTACCACAGAATCTTACAGTGGCTTTCTAGATGTAGTGGATAGAGCCCTGTTAGTGTTGATGTAAGGTTTGCATAACCTGCCATGGCTAATTGTAGCTAATCAACAAAGTGCCACATCTCAGTTGCATAACCAAGCACATGACCAGGCACATAACAAAGATAAGTCTTGGCTCCTTTTCAGTTAGCTGAAATAAGGTTTGCAAACTTTATGCAAATAAGATTCTAGCCATTATATGTGAGATTTGGAAAGTGATATTACTTTTCTCAGTGTTTGGACTTAATTTGGAGATCTGCCTTGGCTCATTTCTAATTCTAGCATTCTGTGGAAAGGAATGATGATATGGAGTGGAATTCTGTGCTGTCTTGTAATTGATCCATATCAAGGTGAGGGTTGGACATGTAGTTCTCTAGGCTGCATGCTTCAAAAGCCTTTCATGAATCTAAAATACAAGAGCATTTGTTTTTGATACACATATATTTATGGAATGGTATTACGGTGTTTAGAGTAAGATTGAAGCAACTTTTAGAAACAAAATGAAATTTACATTTGAGGAACACTGCAAGAATACTTAAATAATTTTTTAAAATTCTAGTTTATCATGCAATCTATTTGGAAGAAATGGCTGCCTCAGAAGTTACTCGGAAGCTTGCTCTGGTGTTTAATATCCCATTGCATCAGATTAACCAGGTTTACAGACAGGGACCTACTGGTATCCATATACTTGTCAGCGATCAGGTAAATCCTCCCCCCTCATTTCTATTCACATTTTTTAAAATCAGCTTTGATTACTAATTCAGATGTTAAGAAAGTGGGTACAACTGAAGTCCACGTTTGTATTACTGTTATAGCCAAGGATATACCATATTTTTCTCTTTATAACATGCTCCCATTTATAAGAGCCCCCCCTTTCTAACCCAAACTTAGCTTTGACTATTCAGCCTCTGGGCTCAGAACACTCAGACATTAGGACTCCCTCTTGAATCTGAGCCTACAGGCTCCACCTTCAATGAGGTGAGTTGCAGTTGGTTTGTTCAGCATTAGCTGACTTCAGTTCTATAAGACTCATGACTGGAGGAAGCTAAGTCTCCTGACTGTAGGAAGTTAAGCCTCGTGACTGAAGAAAGCCTGTTTACAGAGGCAAGGTATGGGCCATTTTGTTCTCTCCTCAGCTATCCTAGCTTACTTCCGTGTATAAGATGCACCTCAATTTTTAGTGTAATTATTTTAGGAAAAAGTAGTGTCTTATACATGGAAAAATACGGTAGGTTCAAGTGCAAAACAATTTGGTTCATCAGTCAGCGGAAAAGAAATTCTAAGCTGCTTTGTGTTCTGAAGTCTCTGGTGGCTTGTCATTTCCAGGGATTATTGAGCAAGAAAGATTAGCTAGATTCATCTCAGACAGCTTCGGCTTGACTATGGGAAAGAGATAGTTTTGGTCACTGTGGTGTATTATTTATGCTGCAAAAGTAGACAGTGGGAGTGTGCCCCTGTTGGTTTTTGTGGACATCTCAACACCTTCTGATACTATCAACCATTGTTATCTTCTTAGATCATCTCTCTGGGATGATATCTGGAGGCACTACCTTGCAGTGGCTCTGGATCTTCCTGGAGAGGCAAGCTGAAGTGGTTCTGGGGGACTTCTGTCTAACACCTGTTAGCCTGTGAGGTTCCTCAGAATTCTATATAAAACATACGAGGAATATATTCCCCCATGCTATTATATCTATGTAAGACCACTGGGAAAGGTTGTCCAGAGTTTAGGGATTTGGTACTACCAAGATGTGGATATCACCCAACTGTGTTTCTCCTTTCTGTCCGGTTCTGAGGAAGCTATTTTGATGCTAAACCTGTTTCTGCTATCAAAAATGGATTGGATCAGGACAAACAAACTGAAACTTAATCCAGAAAAGATAGTTATTCTTAGTCAGTCAAAGGGCAGATAAGTAAATAAAGATTCAGCATGTGATATCTCTACACTCATCCTAATATCTCAGGCTAGCAGCTTGTATTCATCCCTGGGCCTGGAAGTCCACGTCTCAATGGTAGTCAAGAGTATGCCTGCACAATTAAAACTAGTACACCAGCTACCCCATGCTGAGGATGTCTGGCCTGGCCACAGTGAGACATGCTCTAGTTGCATCCCATTTGTATTACTGTAACATACTGTGTACATGGCTGCCTTTTAAAATGGTTCAGAAACTTAAGCTGGTTCAAAATGCTGCAGCAAGGCTACTAACTGGGCTTAGATACAGGGAGCATTTAACTTGCTTGTTATACCTGCTTGACTGACTGCCATTCTATTTCTGGGCATTATTCAAAGTGCTGGTTTTGACATACAAAGCCCTAAACTACTTGTGATCTATCGAACTCCCTTTATGAGCCTGGGCTGGTTTTTAAACTGTTACTGTTGTTGTTCTTGTTGTTCTTGTTGTTCTTGTTGTTAGTTAGTTAGTTAGTTAGTTAGTTAGTTAGTTAGTTAGTTAGTTAGTTAGTTAGTTAGTTAGTTAGTTAGTTAGTTAGTTATTGTTGAAGTATGCAATTTAATTTTTTATTCATTTTCAGTAAGGATAGGAGTTGGGGATAGGGGGCTGGGGCAGTGGACATGGGTAGGGAAAGGGTAAAATTCAGAGTGTGAGGGTACTTTTACATCCACTTATATAATTCTACTAGAATAAAAAATTAGAAAAAAAGAACAACTTAAAAGATTTTATCAGAATTACTATAGTTACTAATGGGCGCTCACTACCTTAGTACATGCGCTCGTAATTTATAGATTAGACTACTGTAATGCGCTCTACGTGGGGCTTCCTTTGAAGCTGATGCGGAAACTTCAAGTGGTGCAGAATGCTGTGGCCAGACTCCTTACTGGAATGAGAAAATATCAACATATCTCTCCTACTCTGGCCATGTTGCACTGGCTGCCCATCCGTTTCCGCGTTGACTTCAAAGTGTTAATGCTTACATTAACATAAAACGGTTAATGCTTACATTAACATAAAACGGTTTAGGACCTCGATACTTGGCGGAATGCTTACTCCCAACTAGCTCTACCCGTGTCACCTGCGCAAGCCAGGTGGTGAGGCTGAGGAGCCTGATGCCGAGGGAGGCCCGGAAGGAAAGAACTAGAAACCGGGCCTTCTCGGTGGTGGCTCCTCGCCTCTGGAATAACCTACCTCCGGAGATTTGCGCTACACCCTCGCTGGGTACTTTTAAGAACCAACTAAAAACCTGTATAGGCAGGCCTTCCCTTCCAGTTAATTCCTGTCCTCTTTCCTTTTTTTTCTCTTTATTTGATTTATTTTGTATTTTTTCCATTGCAAAATCATTTAATTAACTAATTGTTATAAATTTTTCTTGAACTTGTTATGTTTTATGTTGTAAGCTGCCCAGAGTGGTCGAAATGACTAGATAGGCGGGGTATAAATACAATTAATAATAATGATGATGATGATGATGATGATGATGAAGAAGAAGAAGAAGAAGAAGAAGATCCAGTCCATATTTCGAGTCCAGCTATAAAATCATTTCAAATGTTTGCGTCCTTTTTAAGATAACCGTGTTTCTGTTCTCTTGGCTGTCTTTAAAATCATCACGGGAAACTCTTCTCTTTGTCTCATCAGCCTCCCAAGTATATTTGGTGAGGACACAAAAGAGGACCTCTTCTATCACTGCTGCCAAGCTATGGAACTTCCTCTTATAGAAGGCTAACTTGGCCCCCTCTTTGCTTCAAATGTTTGCGTCCTTTTTAAGATAACCGTGTTTCTGTTCTCTTGGCTGTCTTTAAAATCATCACGGGAAACTCTTCTCTTTGTCTCATCAGCCTCCCAAGTATATTTGGTGAGGACACAAAAGAGGACCTCTTCTATCACTGCTGCCAAGCTATGGAACTTCCTCTTATAGAAGGCTAACTTGGCCCCCTCTTTGCTGTTCTTCCTTAGGCAGCCAAAAGCCTTTCTCTTCAGGCAGGCTTTAAATATGTAAATTGCTCCTAACGAAGAGGTTTTAAGGTGGCACTTGTGTTTTTAATCATTTAAAGGTGTTATGAAATTATTGTAAAAGATTTTTAGTAGTTTTCAATAGTTAAGATGCTTTCTTTTAATATTGTAATTCATTATTTTTAATTGTGTGAACAGTAAGCTATTTTAAGTCCCTTATAGAAAGGCAGGTTGCAAATCAAATCAAATTAGAGGTGCATGTATGAGCAGTGCTCGTTTGTGAGTAGTCTTTGGATCTTGTTTTTCTTGGCCAGTGAGAACTAAAGGCATCATACAGTTAAAATGATAATAACTCACAAACTGATAGATTCCAGACAACTTGTTATAGAAAGTAACATTAGAAATAATGCACTAAATATTTATATTGTATGAAGTTTTTAAGTATATTCTTGAGTAAACGTAACATTTGAATGCACCCTTTGACCTGAGAGTACCGTGCTGTCTCTAGTTTCATGGGTGTTCTTCTAATGGCCACCAGTGTCTTGCATTGTTGTGGCTGTGTTTCTTTGTTGGTCATGCATAAATTGCAAAACACTGGCCAAAGCATAGTAGCATAGTAAATTGCACTAGAGTACAGTGGTGCCTCGCTTAACGGCGATAATCCATTCCAGGAAAATTGCTGTTAAGCGAAAATGTCGTAAAGTGAAAATAAAAAGTCCATTGAAACGCATTGAAAACCGTTCAGTGCGTTCCAATGGGCTAAAAACTTACCATCCAGCAAACATCCTCCATACGGCGGCCATTTTCGGTGCCTGTATCGCGAGGAATCTGTCCCTAAACACAGTGGGGAGCCATTTTAATTATCCAGGGACCATTTTGAAACTGCCAATCAGCTGTTAAAAAACATCGTTTTGTGAAGAATCGGTTCCCGAAGCAGGAAACCGATCATCACAAAGCGAAAAAACCCGATTTAGACCATCGTTTTGCAATCGCAAAAACATCGTCGTGAAGCGGATTCATTGTAATGCGGGGTAATCGTAAAGCGGGGCACGACTGTATAGGCATCCTTCAGTCTCGAGAGACTGTGGTAGTGTGCTCTGTGTTGAGGCCTTGAAACAGCATCTAGTGTGGCTGAGAAGGCCAGTTTGAGAGTGACAATCCCTTCCACACTGAAGACAGATACAATCCTTACCCTGTCCGCCTCCCTGATTTTGCTTCTTCCAGGACTGCTTCTTTGCCTCGGCCTGCTGGACAAGGGTCTCTTCAAATTGGGAGAAGCCATGATGCACTGCCTGCCGCCAGGCTGAACGCTCCAATGTCAGGGTTTCCCATCTGTTGAGGTCCATTTCTAAGGCCTTCAGATCCCGCTTGCAGATATCCTTGTATTGTAGCTGTGGTCTCTCCCTGGGGCGATTTCCTTGCACTCATTCTCCGTACAGGAGATCTTTTGGAATTCGATCATCACCCATTCTCACAACATGCCCAAGCCAATGTAGACGTCGCTGTTTCAGTAACATATACATGCTGAAAATTCCAGCTCGATCTAGGACTACTCTATTAGGAACTTTGTCCTGCCAGGTGATACCAAAATGCGTAGGAGACAACGCATATGGAACATGTTCAGCTTCCTCTCCTGCCGTGCACAAAGGGTCCAAAACTCACTGCAGTATAGGAGTGTGCTCAGGACACAGGCTCTATAGACCTGGATCTTGGTGTATGCCGTCAATTTCTTATTACGCCATACTCTTTTTGTGAGTCTTGAGAACATGGTACAGTAGCTGCTTTCCCAATGCGATTATC